AAAGAAGTTTGCTAAAGCTGCATTCTTTTCAAAATGAAATACTAAAACTGAATTTAATCAATCAGACTTTAGACATGAGAATTTGGAGAAATTCAAGTAAATTCTTTACCACTTATATAGATTAACGTACCTCAAAAAAAAAAAATCTTACGTTAGTTATATTTAGAGAAAGAATACCTATAAGTTATCTGGTCCCTTTATTCAAAAAATGACACTTCTGATTTGCATTCCAAATCAAGAAGAGATCTCACATCAAAGAGAAACCTGGCAACTCTTCTATATCACTTTAAGTTGAGTAAACAATAAGATGATAAAATATTAAAATATAATTACCATGTAGAGAAAAATACTAATCAAACTTAGCCATCAACCAATACAGAGAGCTTAACAATTGGGAGAAGAAATTCAAATAGACGCCACCAAATTGTATTTGGCTAGAATTATACCAGAAGAGTATTTGCCTTTTCCATTTAACTTACCTTTTCTTACTGTTTGTCATTTTTATTTTACTTACTTTTTAGTGCTTTACTATTGTTTAGGTAACTCTTACACACAATATAAAGTTCGAATAGAATTAAAGGGTATACCTGCTATCTCTGTCCTCCAGCCTACGGTATTCTCTTCCTTTAGGGGCAACCAATGACCGGTTTTTTATGTGTCCTTCCAAAGGTATTATATGAATAAACATTTATATTTTACCATTAAATACTACATTTGGTATGTGTATTTATAACATGAAATTCATGGCCATGCACAGTGGCTCACGCCTGTAATCCCAGCACTTTGGGAGGCTGAGGCAGGTGGATCACCTGACGTCAAGAGTTCGAGACCAGCCTGGCCAATGTGGTGAAACCCTATCTCTACTAAAAATGCAAAAATCAACTGGGCATGGTGGTGGGTGCCTATAATCCCAGCTACTCAGGAGGTGGAGATAGGAGAATTGCTTGAACCCAGGAGACAGAGGTTGCAGTGACCTGAGATTGTGCCACTGCACTCCAGCCCAGGCGACAGAGCAAGACTCGTCTCAATAAATAAATAAATAAATAAATAAATAAATAAATAAATAAATAAATAAATAAATGTTTCATTATTTGAAAGAGATAAAAGATTAATTTCTTTTATACCTCTGTTAAAGTCTTCAAGTGATCCAGACTTGAGAAATTTAAAAAATAATTATTCCTTCTTAGAACGCTTGACTGGGTCTATGATAACCTCAGTTCCTAAATACTGAAAGAGTTTTAACTGTAGTTTATACTAAATATACTTCACAGTATGTATTGAGTAGTTTTGTATTAATTATAACTTCCTCCCCTCTTCATTAAGCAGCTAATCAAAAGTTACAAACACACATACACGCTGGCACATATGTATAATTGTACCTGTACAAGAGAGTATTAATTTTAAAATCTTTACCTATAACATGCATTATGAAATATACAAGTTTCTTCTATTCATCTAAAATAAACCAAAAATTTATTTATACATTCACTTTGTAAGAGTAAAATGCCAAAGTTACCTCTACTGTAGCAAGAAAAGACATCAAGGAACATACGCTATGACCACAATTTAAAAAGCAATGATTTTCTTAGCTCTTTATTCACAAAATCTCATTATTTCTTCATACAAAATTATTGGAGTTTTACATTTATATACTATTCAGTAACATAGATTTTGTGAAATGTTATCTCTCTCTAGAGCATATGACTCTATACTACCACATGAAATTAAAAAGAAACTATTTTTTTCCAAAGAGAAAGTATTTATCATCAACTTCAGCTAGGCCTATAGGCATGTGCCACCACACTTGG